GAGGTCAAACGCCATTGTGAGGCTTGTGTGAGGTGTCAGCATGCGAAAATGCCAGTTGTCAAAATGAGACAGCCATCAGGACACCTACTAGCGACAAAACCACTAGAGATTGTGGCTATGGACTTTACGTCGTTGGAGCAATCATCGGATGGGACGGAACATGTGTTGGTAATGACTGATGTATTCACCAAATGGACTGTGGCGGTGCCCACACGAGATCAGACTGCCAAAACAGTGGCAAAGGTCTTAATAGAACATTGGTTCATCAGATATGGCATACCAAGACAATTACACTCTGACCAAGGAAGGGCTTTTGAGTCAGAAGTAATTAACCAACTGTGCAGTCACTACGGGATCAACAAATCCAGAACAACCACATTTAATCCGAAAGGAAACGGACAGTGCGAACGGTTCAACCGCAGCATGCATGATTTGCTGCGCACTCTAGAACCTGAACAGAAAAAACGTTGGCCGGATTTTCTCCCAGAGTTGGTGTATCTATACAACTGCACCCCCCATGCCACGACCGGCTTTACGCCACACATGTTGCTGTTCGGACGAGAGGCTCGACTCCCTCTTGATTTGTTCCTAGGAAAAAGGGAGAGTATGACTGGCTCATACACCGCACTGGAATATGTGAATGAACATATGCGAAGAATTAGAGAAATGTACAGGGTAGTACAGGAAAGACTAGAACATGAAGCTCGGCGAAGGGAACCGCCGGTACAGACAAAGGACCCGCCACTCAAACTGAACGACAGGGTATTACTGCGTAGCCACCCGTTAGGCAGAAACAAGATACACGACCTCTGGGGACAGGAGATATGGCAAGTCGTGGAGATGCCTAAAGTAGCAGGTGGCCCCTTTAAGATAAGACCCATCGGTCACGCCAAACCGGATCGGTGGGCGAATATTGCTCAATTAAAGAAATATTGGAATAGGCAAGAAGAGCAGTTACACACAGAGAAACCCAAGAGAATTAGGGAACCGGAAGTTACAACGGAAATTCACATACCCATCCCGGAACAATGTCACCATCAACAGAACAACAGCGTTACACAAGGGGAGGATACCGGCAACAATGAGGATCCCGGTCCCTCCAGAAGCAAAGAGACAATAGACCATCAGAATAGTGGTCCGCGGAGAAGCTTGAGGAACAGGAAGAATACGAAATTTTTTGTCAGCAACCATCAATTCTTTCATGGTCGCGCTGGTAGGAGAACAGACTGTTCAAAAAGTCATAAAGGTGAATTGGTGAAAGCACCAAACGGAAAAGGTGGATGTGAATTCTAGAACTGTTTGGTGTCTGAGGAGGATGATGTGGACACAGTTGATGTGAAAGAGGTATAACTGTCAATCATATACGAATGGGACGACATTGACAGTGAGTGGAACAATAAATTCTTTTTTTTATGGTGGTGCGTTTGACTTTGAGGGAGTGCACCTGCCAAGCGTGTTTGTGGTTGATAACACACAAAAAAAGGCAGGGGTGGATGTAACGGGGGTAGGCCTGGCTACTAGTTACAACTGATAACGAACGATAAGCCGCGACGCAGTATGAAATCTGATGCAACTATAACAGGTGGCTTATTGGATCGGTCTGATAACAATCTCAAAGCCAACGCGTGCTATTTTGGGAAACGGTACGAGAAGTTTCAGACGAGCTGTCAACTTTGATTGATGGGATGCAGATGTTTTAGTAAATCGGACGGTACGTCAGAAACTGCGACATTAGTATTCGGATACATCGATTACAAGTATCGATTACGGAAATGGAGACAAGTACGACTTCGAATACTAAGGATAAATAGGAGGGGACGGCTGAGATCGTAGCTCTTCTCTTTTCACCGCTAGTTGTGACAGTATCAATGTTGGTTATTGAACGGGTTAGCCGTATTGTGTAAAGAAGGACTATAGACATGTGGATTCAGTTATACGAAGCCTAGTGAGGACTGTTAGGGAGTCAGTTGATCCAGACTATTATTGAGAAGCATTCCTGTTGATTTCTTGTGTGATTATGAAACATTTCTTGATTCATGTAATAAAGGATCAATAGCGAACCTGCATCTTGAGTATCTATACTGTGGTCGATGTTGTCTAGAATGAGTGGTCAGAACTCGTTAACATTTGGCACTACAGACAATTAGGTCTCATTACATGTGGCGTGCGAGCATAGTAACTGTTGGCTCGTTATAATTGGCGTTGTCGGCAGGATAAATGTCCGCCCGTTACAATTGCCGCTGCGAGCAGGATAGATGTTCGCCCGTTACATATATATATATATATATATATATATATATATATATATATATATATATATGGGCCTATATATATATTAATATATATATATATATATGTATGTATGTATATATATGGGCCTATATATAAATTAATATATATATATATATATGTATGTATGTATATATATATATATATATATATATATATATATATATATATATATATATATATATATATATATATAAATACACCAGTTTTAAACCCTGCTTGAAATTTACAAGTGGACTCCTAATAGACATGCGTTGCGGTCAAACGATAGAACGAATACGAATACTATATTGTTGATTCTGGTTTACGGGTTTGATTTGCTAGAGCCTCCATATATCCCACTCTGATGGGCACCTGGGTTGATTTGGTGAAGGAAGAGTAGGACTGACATATTGCTGACCACATTTTCTCTTCGTATCTTAAAGACAAGGAACAAGACATATTGCTGACCACACTATCCTTTCATATTCTCAAGTCAAATATATTTCCCCACTAACAGTTTGTTCTAAAACAATACTCTTTGTTTCACTCATGATAATTATTCTAATATCTTTTCGGAAAATAAGGTGGTAGTATCGCAATTTAACATGTAAATGTAAGAACCAATTACCATATGTAGCCTACTTATGAATTGACTCGTTTTGTGAGTATAATAATTATTCTAATATTTTTTCTCTTTGTGAGTGTAATAATTATTCTAATTTCTTTTAGAATAAGAAAAGTATCAGTATCCCAATCGTACATGTAAATACAAGAACAAATCACTATACGAACTAATGAGTTTTACGCGCTTTGTGAGTCTAACAATAAGCCCATAACATGTATTATGAGACGCTACTATTTATCCAATAATATCACAAGTGTATAAAAAACCTTCTACCATTAAATCATACAGGGACTTGGAAAAACTTTTTTTTTCCTGTCAATGAACGCATTTGCATATCGATCTAACAGACGGCAAGTCACATGAACGAACCATCGATCTAGGCATAATTAAGTAATCAATCAAGCAGTAAATTAAACAAGTCAGAGTTCGATCATTGATCAGTGGAGTCGATCAATCGATCTACCAGTAAATTAATGAATAATTACCCATGTCACATGCGAGTGCTACACTACTTTACCTGTAACTTTTGGCCGTGTTTATGTCAGCTTGCCCCAAAGGCAGACGTGACCTATATATAATTCTCTTCATGGAGACCATAGACAACACCAAGCTGTAAGCGCGCCTAGCAGCCCCCTCTCTTCCTCTCTAGGCATATCCCTACCACTCCCACCCCTACCCCCACATGGTCTGGTGAGCTGTGGTTCAATTAAATGTTTACAATCGTAGAGTCGGGTTTAGTGATGACTATTAAGGGGCAGATAATTTAGTTTGAAACGATTTTAAACTTAGGGGAGGTAACTAAGAGGGGGGGCTGCTTTCACGGGGGGGGGGGGGGGCAGAGTAGGGGTTGGGGGAAAGGAGGGGGTGGGGGGGGGGTTATCGTCCTTAACGACCTACTGATAGTGTTTTAAAGCAAATATTTTCAGTGGCAGCACTGGTACTGTCGAATTCACAAATAATGACTTACTGAAAAGTATAAAATAAAACAACTAAATAGCGGCGTATGATTCGCCGCGGGTCGGCTCGTATTAAATAACAGACGAAACGGGACACGTACACGTCTCTGATTACACACCCTGACAACACACTTCAACACGTGTGCTGGTCAACGATTAACACATTTGGAACGTTCTCTAGCACTTTTTATTTTCCATTTCAATTTTTCTTTTTATTTTAAAGAAAAAAATAACGTGTCGCATGTGTCTTTTCTGATGTTGGAACCTGAGGACAGGAGTCAAGTTGGACCAGGGACTAAAGTTGGCCCAGTCAAACGTTGGCCCAATCAAAAGTTAGCCCAATCAAAAGTTGGCCCAGTCTAACGTTGGACCAGGGGCTAAAGTTGGCCCAGTCAAACGTTGGCCCAATCAAAAGTTAGCCCAATCAAAAGTCGGCCGAGTCAAAAGTTGGCCCTGTCATACGTTGGCCCAATCAAAAGTTGGCCCAGTCAAAAGTTGGCCCAGTCAAAAGTTGGCCTAGTCAAAAGTTGCCCCAGTCAAAAGTTGGCCTAGTCAAATGTTGGCCCAGTCAAATGTTGGCCCAGTCAAAAGTTCGCCCCCTCAAAAGTTGGCCCAGTCAAAAGTTGGCCTAGTCAAATGTTGGCCCAGTCAAAAGTTGGCCTAGTCAAATGTTGGCCCAGTCAAATGTTGGCCCAGTCAAAAGTTCGTCCCCTCAAAAGTTGGCCCAGTTATAAGTTGGCACCGAGTACTGAGTTTTAATCCAGACTGATAGACCAAGATTAAGACGTTAAAATATTGACTTAGTCCTCTTTGCTCCTTATGGAACATATGCCTCAACGTTAAAATATACTGCGATATAATCCAGTCTTCTTGGCATTTTCAGACGTTAAATGTACTGATATCTAATCCAGGCTGGTCGTATTAAGATTACAATGTTTAAGTGTACTCACCTTCCATATACTGAATTCTTATCCAAGCTGGTCGACTAAGATTAAGATGATAAAATGTACTGACATAATAATATAATCCAGTCTTCTTGGCATTTTAAGACGTTAAATGTACCGAAATCTAATCTAAGATTAAGACGTTAAAATGTACAAAGATTCCAGGCTGGTTGGATTAAGATTAAGATGTTACAATGTACTCACCTTCCCTTCCTTGATCTTCACAGCGAAGCCAAAGCCCATGAGCTTCCAGCCCCCCTTCCTGGTGAGCAGAATGGACTGCGGGCAGATGTTGCAGTGGATGAGGTTTTCCGTGTTGTGGAGGTACGACAGGGCATCTGTGATCTGAGGGTGGACACGGTGGGTCACTTGATCAGGGCATATGCCTTTTTAAAAAAATCTATCTGTCCAACTCCCAAATGACCCCCATAACCAGAGGCGTATCCAGGTTTTCGTTGTAGGGGGAGCGAAAAGTGCAAAAAAGGCGCCGAATTTTTAACACGTTCTATTTACAAATACACACACATATATATATATATATATATATATATATATATATATATATATATATATATATATATATATATATACACTACAACCAAAAACAATGAACGTAACACAATCTGTTTTGTAATTCTTGTAAAAAGAATTTCTTACATAATAATTCCTGGGAAATTATTTAAGACAAGTGAAATAGGGGAAATAAATCACTCTCTTAATATAAATATGTATATATCTACACATTTAATTATAAATGTCAAAACAAATAAATAATTACTTTAGAATATAATGATATTGTTTAACACTATTCATGTTTATAAAATGTTTTTTGTCTATAATCAGAATTCAATATATCGTCATCATAAATGCTAAAGTATCACAGCTTAATGAAAGTTTTTAAAATCAGAGTTGGTATAAAACCACGCTTTTCGAAATAATAGAAAAACATTCGGAATAACAGCCTACATTTAACTAAATATCGGTCTTTTAGTTCAGATCATATATTTTATTAATTAAGTACTGCTTCTTTGTGTTCTTTATAGATCATTTTTTAACATAGGTATGGATTAGATCACTGTATTGATCACACACCTTTTTACTGGTAATTGCAAAAACAATATTCACAGAGTTTTACGTTTAAAAAGCTAATTTTCTGGCGGCATGGTACTTTGATACATCTTTACGCGTTTTTCTACATGTACTTAACAGATCAGTTCGGTGTGGGTTGGGGGGGGGGGGGCGGGGTTCAACTTCATTCACCACTTTCCGTTCACTTTAGGTCAATCATACAACCCAGTGTATACCTAGGTGTGACATTAATGTCGCTCCACACAATTGTGGTAGTGAGGTGTGTGTGTGGGAGGGGGGGGGGATAACCAACTCAGAGTGAACATAGCGTCAGTTTTTAGATGACTGTTCTAAACATACATATATATTACACAAATATATATTACACAAATATATATTACACAAATATATATTACAGAAATAGATTTAAATAAGTAGCAGTGGTATTATGACAATATTTTTTTTTACAGAGGGGTCCATGGGCGAGGGGGGTTGTAACTGTTTCATATGATTTGTAATCGTAATCACTATCGCCCAAACGGTAAGAATACTACTACTTCATCGTGGTGACGTTGTTGACCTTGTCAAAATGTCCCCACCACTACGCAGTTTGCTCATAAGTAAATTTAAATAGAGGTGCTACATCAGTTGTATTTGTTTCTATTTTGTAATTTTTTTAAAATTAATCACACGATTCAAACTGTATATATAAAGTAATTATGTGTCAAGTTTTATGTATAACATTTTCTAATTCAATTATTCGTAAGCAAATACATTATACAGTTGCCTTAAACTTAACACCCCTCTTGCCAAATGGTACTACCGTAGAGGTTTTTTAAACATTGCAATGCATCGTAATGGTTATTTTTAGAATGGCAAACTGATGCAGCTGTTAATACGTGTTGTAAACGTAGACACTACTAGACTAGTGCAATAATTCTTAATTGCTGCATGAAAAGAAATATTTTTAAACAAATATCATTGTTTAAAACTTTGAGTTTAAAAGTTTCCAAAAAGGCGCCACTTTGCTGAAAATGGCCAGAGGGGGAGCGGCTGCTCCCCCTGCTCCCCCCTGCGTACGCTACTGCCCATTACGCTTGCACACAAGTGAACACTTACAATCTCACATATAAATTAACTGGACATATACAACAGATACACAATTTATCATTCGTAAACACTTATAGACACGCACACATCTGCATAAAACACCAACACCGGCCCAATTTTAAACCCAATTGTTTAAGAAATGTAGTTAAGTTCATGCTAATTAATGTAATTTACTTAATGCGAAAAAAAAATTGTTATACAATACTCCATTTACTATTTCTAAATACGTATATTAACTAGTTACAGCCGAAGTTCGTTGTGTTTTGCTAACATATTTAACAAAAAATAAAAAATAAAATTTGCACTTAAAAATTGCCAGATAAGTTTTCGAATTTGTCGCAGAAAATTGTAAACCCAATCAATAACTTCCTTATTTTAGCTCAAAAACAAATATTCCTAGCTTATAATTATTCCTTTAAAATCTAGGTTAATGAGGTTGTTTTAATTAAAAACACTCTGAACAAAGTAATTAAACTAAAGCATTGATTAGCCCTCAGCAAGAAAGGATATTAGCTGACGCTATTTACGTATTATTTCTTTATTGTTTTTTGTTTCGTAATTTATATAAAGTTAAGTTTAGGAAAAATAATGTTGATAAAATTAAGCTCATTGATTTAACCTTGGTTTGAAAACGTCACAATTTATCCTTTTTTTTTTTTTTTAATTTCTGCACTGAAACCTGGCTAGTTTCTAATTATATACACTGTCAAGAAATCGACCGATGTTATTCTTATGTTAGCATGTTCTTATTCGCATTTCCGGCGCCGCGGAAATGTCAAGGACGATGGTTTTGGAAAGATTGAATGCGGCCCTTATTGGGGTCACTTCTGCTGATGTTGCCTGTTTGGGTGCGGGATCAAGGCGACGAGAGATGGACGACTGTTTTGACGTCTTGTTAAGCTTTCATTGATAAATGTGAACGGGAAAACCCGTAGAAAAAAATGTCTTTTAAAAAGTTGTATTGGGAAATAGCGTTAGATGTTTATGGAAAGAAACAACAGGAATAAAATAAACAATGACACTTTCTTTAAACATTATTATTATAATGTCGCTGTTTTAGATATTAATGTTAAAGCATAATGTTGTTGTTTTAGAGATTATTCTTGGAGTAAAATGTCGCTGTTTTAGACATTAATATTAGGTTATATGATGTAGTTTTAGACATTAATGTTAGAGTATAATGTCGCAGTTTTATACATTAATGTCATTGTATTTAGCAATTACCTGAACGATGCCATGCTTTATCTCCAGTTCTATAAATTCATGGTCCTGTAAACAATAGTGTAAACAATGTGATTAGTCTCCTTTATTACTATATAAAGGATATATATATATATATATATATATATATATATATATATATATATATATATATATATATATATATATAAGACAAAATGAAAGATACAAGAAGCAGGCAAAGAGAAGTATATACATTACAGCAAACAGTACACTTTCCCCATTGGGACCATGCAGACGGTGATTCGCATGCTGGCTGCACTATTTTTCTATAGACGGTCAGTTGGATAACAGGACTTCCATAATCGCAGACTAGATCTAAATCTGGAACCCGTCACCATTAATATGTACATACAGAGGAAGAGATAGCTAATATCGTGTAGTTCGTTTATACACTTAGCCTTTCCTAATCTGGTAGTAAAGAGTCCAAATTATACGGTTGTTTTTATGTATTGTTAAGGAACATATGTCTTTGATTTTATTTGCGTTATAGGAATAATTTTTAGATCAATATTTTTTTCCAAAATGAGAAATGTCACCGATTATCTCCCATGACTATAAATAAATCAAACCATGAATGTTTTGTCTTAATCATGATGGGAAACTGTAGTACTAAGCAAACAGTTTTAAAAAAAATATCTTGACAAAAATACTTTAAAAGAATTGCTAATATCTAGCAACAAAAATGGAAAATCCTCACAGGGGAGATAATGACACGGGAGGCAATGGTAGAGGCGAGTTAATTTCGCGGTTATCGTTCCGAACACGGCTGCAATTAAGAGCGTGTTGTGTTAGAAAGGAATTGTTTTATTATCAGATTTTGCAGAGCGTTAAGTTAGACTGTGTTCTAAAGTTTTAGGATTTCAAATAACATTGGTACTCATTCAGTTAACTGTAGTAGAATACAGCCTATCTATACTACATTTCTCACATTTACACGTTTACACATTCACATACACACACTCACACACACAGCCACACACACACAAACACCTGCACACATACACTCACCATCACACACACTCACACACTCACTCTCTCACACATATTCACACATTCACTTTCACATTCATATTCAAATGTGCTGAATATTTCTTAAATTCTAATTACATTACATTAATTACACACTTTTCTCAGTACTTATCAGCCATTAAAGTTTTTAAAAAAGTAAAGATTCATCTTTCGATCATACGATCCATTGGGCAGATGAAGTAGAGTTCATATGTTTCTTGACTTCGGCATATGAGGATATGGTGTGTTTAGCCCTATGCTCAGCCGTCTCTACTTTCCCCAACACAAGTCAAATACCCATCAGAGCTGGGTTGCCTCAAAGATGTACCACAGTCACAAGTCCGAATCAAGATCCGAATTCGAGACCTTCGGGCTAGCAGCTAAACGCTCTACCATTTTACCACGCCATCCCAATCAGCCATAAGTTACATCAGCAAAGGTTTCGCAACTCCCACCACTATACATACATACATATATATATATATATATATATATATATATATATATATATATATATATATATATATATATATATATATATATATATATATACATATATATATATATATATACATACATACAATTCCCCAAGCAAAACAAAACAAAACCATAGCCACACGCCAGTGTCTTCACAAAAAATGTAAAAATCTCTTGGCAGTTTTTCTCTCTCGTAAATAAATTTTCTTCACATTCATTTTTTTTTTAAATCTGAAAATTCTATGACGGATTGAACTTTTCAATTACCGGGACATAAAACCTTCGGCTAGATCTCTATTGTATACGGAAAAAACGGCAAAAGATTCGCAGCGCGGCAAAATATAACAGGAGAGGTTATGCATTCATTCGTCAACTTCCGTCATTCCTATATGTCACATAAGATAGCAGTTTTTTTGAACGAACTAACAAACCAAAAAAAAACACGTGTACCTTTGTATTTATCTTGTAGTAAGGCCGTTGTTCGAAGATAAATTTGTCGAGAAATGTAGTCGCTTTAATATTTTCTATTACATACCTTTTGTTTACCGTTCTACCGCGATGCTTTGTTTTCCGGTGTTGTTTTTTCTGATTTCCGGTGCTTTTTAACTATATTATTTACTCATGTTTTTGTTCTCTACATTGCTTGTTTCTTTTAATACATTTTAATCCAGTTTAATAGTGACTCTTGGTGCATCATAAAAAGACAAATTAACGTTTAACTGACTGGTTTTGTAGGCTCGACAATTCTTCTTCTTTCCTACAGCAGCAATAGGTGTTATAACACAAACAACTACAACAACAACTTCATACCACACTAAACTACAACAACAACTTCATACCACACAAAACTACAGCAACAACTTCATACCACACAAAACTACAGAAACAACTTCATACCACACAAAACTACAGCAACAACTTCATACCACACAAAACTACAACAACAACTTCATACCACACAAAACTACAGCAACAACTTCATACCACACAAAACTACAGAAACAACTTCATACCACACAAAACTACAGCAACAACTTCATACCACACAAAACTACAGAAACAACTTCATACCACACAAAACTACAGCAACAACTTCATACCACACAAAACTACAGCAACAACTTCATACCACACAAAACTACAGCAACAACTTCATACCACACAAAACTACACAAATTATTTTATACCACACTAAACTACAGCAACAACTTCATACCACACAAAACTACAAGAACAACTTCATACCACACAAAACTACAACAACAACTTCATACAACACTAAACTACAGAAACAACTTCATACTATACTAAACTACAGCAACAACTTCATACCACACTAAACTACAGAAACAACTTCATACTGTACTAAATTACAGCAACAACTTCATACCACACAAAACTACACAAACTATTTCATACCACACAAAACTATAGAAACAACTTCATACCACACAAAACTAGAGCAACAACTTCATACCACACAAAACTATAGAAACAACTTCATACCACACAAAACTATAGAAACAACTTCATACCACACAAAACTAGAGCAACAACTTCATACCACACAAAACTACAGCAACAACTTCATACCACACAAAACTACAGAAACAACTTCATACCACACAAAACTACAGCAACAACTTCATACCACACAAAACTACAGCAACAACTTCATACCACACAAAACTACAGCAACAACTTCATACCACACAAAACTACAGAAACAACTTCATACCACACAAAACTACAGAAACAACTTCATACCAAACAAAACTACAGCAACAACTTCATACCCTGATCTCTGTGGATATATTTGCCGGCAGACGTTCATGATTTCCCAGCACATTCGCCAAACTGGCGAACACAGGTTCAGTGGCGAACGCTAAGCTATCGCTGGAAGAATGGTAAAAAAAAAAAAACATGATTACATTTTGTAAAAAATAGATAAAGCTGTAAAAATTGATTAAAGAATTTGTGGCAAAACTAATTGTACAATCGTGTGTTCACATTTTCAAATATTCATTTTTGTGCAAAACAGATTGCTTATTTTTGGAAAACAAAATGATTGTCTGTTGTTTGTGGGCTAAAGAATTAACCCTAGCTGGGAAACATTAAGATTGATTTTAGAGAAACTTGTGTAAACAATTCTAGTTACTGTCTTACATTGGTATTTTATGTATCAGTAGTGTTGTATGTATCAGTAGTGTTGTATGTATCAGTAGTGTTGTATGTATCAGTAGTGTTGTATGTATCAGTAGTGTTGTTTGTATCAGTAGTGTTGTATGTATCAGTAGTGTTGTATGTGTCAGTAGTGTTGTATGTATCAGTAGTGTTGTATGTCAAAGGAAAATAAGGTCGGGCCAACGTCACATACAATGTGTTTATATTTATAACACATCTCACAATGTTGAAAATTTATATCATGACATTAATTATTTAATTGCTACATTTTTCTACTTTTCCATAATGTATAAGTTAATTTACATTTCATAAAAAAAATTAAAAAAAAATCAAATTACAATTGAGTGGGAGGGGGGGGGGGGGCTATTTCTTTAAAAATTCACATGGTTAAGGTGTTTTTAAGGAATTCAGAAAATCTAAATTCTTAAATAAACCAATTTAAAAAAAATTGTGGTGGTTTTATAATGGCTCGAGTTTGATTGTTTACAGCAGGGGTCTCCAAACTTTTCAGTCCGAGGGCCGCATTAACTATCAAATTTCAGTTCGGGGGCCAGTTTCTTCCACGCATGTCTTTGATTTTTCTGGCCAAAGTGCCTCAGCCATAACCAACAAACGATTTTTCCTTGGACAAAAAGATCTCAGCGGGCCGGATGAGAGGTTTTCGAGGGCCGCATCCGGCCCGCGGGCCGTAGTTTGGAGACCCCTGATTTACAGCCACATGAACTCTTTGGGGATACACTCGAACATCATGATTGTACATCAATTATTAAATAGTAAAGCAAATTATCCCCAGGGAGGATGATGTCCAAAGTCCATCTGCTTTTGTGGCCTTAGTTTATGATGGGGTTGTGAGGTCATTAACACACCCAGTGGTCGTTGTTTTCATTGATTCCAGTTAAATACCCGTTACTTGTGTACAACAGACTCGAACTTATAACCGAACCGGACACTGTTTTCCTCTATCACTCGATCACACTGACCTAGTTACACGACCACGCTGACCTAGTTACACGACCACGATGACCTAGTTACATAACCACGCTGACAAAGTTACAAAATCTGACAAAAGTGAAATTTGATGGTCTCTTTTGTTCTTCAGGTCGGGGGGGGGGGGGGGGGGGAGGGGGGGGGGGGGGGAAGGGGTAGACTTAAATTTCCAGTTCTTCTTCTTCGTTCTTGATTTTAGTGTTGGAAGGGATCCCCCTCCAACACAATAAGGGTACATGTCAACTGGTTATGCGATATTGAGGCCATTGACTCCGATTTCAGCCTGCTTTTCTTTTTTTTTTATGATTTGCCTCCATAGCCTTTGTCCAACCAATAACAAACTACAAGGCAGCAGTTGTTTGATTTTGGAGTTGTCTCTCCTAGAAGAGTGGCTGTCCCCAGCTAACGAACCTCATCTGCCCGATGGTTCGAACTCGAGATTTTTTCGTTTAACATTGTCATGTGTGTTAAGCCGAGATTATTTGAAACCATTCACGCAAGAACAAAAGAGACCATCAATGAGAGGCTTCGAGAAGGATCAAATTCGTGTTTTTTTTTTTTTTTTTTTTTTTTTTTTTTTTTTTTTTTTTTACGAGTCCAATCGATACAATAGAATTGAACAGCTTCCACCTCTTCTATTTCATCCAACTTTGTATTTTGACTTTATCAACAGAATCTTTGTAGTTCAGATGTAATTTCCATGTTACAATGGAATTGTTGTAGCGACCAGGGTAGAGTGTGATTGAATGGTAGGCTTATGGGGGTAAGAAAGAGGTTTATGGTTAGAGGGTTAAGGTGAAAGGGTTTAGGTTTTAGGGTTAAGGTTGGAGGGTTAAAGGTTAGGGTTAGAGGGTTAAGGTTAGAGGGTTAAAGTTTTAAGGTTAAATTATATTTTGTTAAAAACAAAACAAAAATTAAATAAAATCAGAAATATACACACATATATACATTCACATACACATGCACATGCAAGCTCTTGCGCTTAAATACTCTCTCTCTCTCTCTCTGTGTCTTACACACACACACACACAAACACACACACTCTCTCTCTCTCACACACACACACACGCTTACACAATTGTTTCAATTTTTTTTTTCATTTTCCTAAATTGATCAAGGGAAATAACCTTTAACTTAGTTTCCAAAATAGCTTTAAGACAAAATAGTATTGAATAGTAGAGCAACAGAAAATAACATTTGTTGTTTGATTAATAAATAGATTAAATATTATAATTGTTGATTTGATTTTTTGCTAAACTTTATAATTAAATAGTATCTTGGATTATTTTTGAGCTCTAGTTTAAATACAAAACCATTAGCTATATTTGCTACCTAATTTAAATAGTTGTTAACGTTGACTTTAGCCTGAATTCCTTGGGTTGCAAGTTTTGGTTTTTAGAAATTGTTTTCGTTTAATATATATAGATCTAAATAAAATTATTGCTGTACATATACACACCTAGCAGCACTAGCCAAACAAATGAAAGCAATGCACTTCTATATATTTTCAGGTTACATACTTTTGACTCCCTGCTCGATCCTCCACATACTATTGAATCAATCACCTTATATTACATTTTTCAGGATAAAAAATAATTGAAATAAGCCGCTTTATGTTATGCATAAGTAAACCATTTTCAATTATTTTATTAAGTTACATGTCAGATAGAAGTATTACTGTTGTAGATCTGTATCAGTCCTCACTAGTTGATAATGAGAACTGAAATACTAAAGCGGACATGGCAAGCCAAACTGACGCCGTAAATTACAGGTCTGATACACACACAAAAAAACATGTCTGAGGGGGGTAACAAATACGAGAGAAAAAAAAAGAAAGAATTATTTTTTTTTAACTACCAAAATTGTGTGGTATTCGTATTTGTTACATTACTTCAACAGATAGTCTTGTACTCTATTATAATAGACAACCTAAAGTAAAGTTTCCCTTTCAAACCTGACTGTCTATGGGGCAAGTGAAGTAAAGTTCCTGTGACCTCGGCATATGAAAAGATAGTGTGGTCAGCACTATGCCCAGCCGCCTTTACTTTAACTAACGTGAGTTAGATACCCATCAGAGTTGGGTGGACTCAGGGACGGTCTACTGAATTGAACCCGGATTCGAACTCGAGAGTTACGGGTTAGCAGTCCAGCTCTCTACGGTTAGACCACTCCGTCCCACAATAGATAACCTAGACGACATGTTTTGTCTCTAGCTCTATCTGTAGTTAACTGCCTCACAGGTACACATCAGCTACACACCAACTACACGGTAAACACGGAGTATACAAGGGGCGTAACTACGTTATACATAACAACAAGGGAAGCGACGATAACGAACAAGACATAAAGTAACAACGCACGGTATCCAACGGTCAAATGGGCTTTTGTATGATAAAAAATAGGAACAATTTGTTAAGGAAAAAAATTAAAAAGCCCCCCCCCCATCCCTCCCAAAACAAATATCTTTGCCGATACATATATTAATATGTGTGTATGTATGTGTGTATATTATTTTACGACAATCATTTCAGGATTTGAAATAAGCAAAAAAAATTGAAACAGACTGTCACAATTTTAAGTCTAAGCTTTATGTGAGGTATGTAGAAAAACACCAGTAGAGAACGAAAGAAGAGGAAAGAAAAGTGGGGTTGAATAAGTGCACAGAAGAGGACATAGAGTGATCAACACTCCAAGGTCGGCACTTGAGTAGAATTCACATGTGATGTTTCAACTTACTTAGCTGCATAACTTAATACTACTCTGCTTGATTTCGCTACTGTTATTAAATGAGTTGTCTACTTTCAGTAGGCCTACACTACTTTATCAATGAAAAATAAACCGGGAGTGATCTCCCCTAAACTTTCTCGAATATCTATCTATCTATATATATAATTCTCTTCTGGGAGCCGTTAGAAAACAAGCTGCAAGCGCTCCTTACAATCCCCTCTCTTCCTCTCTATCGCTACAACCCCCCCCCCCCCACCCTCTCACATGGTCTGGTGAGCTGTGGTTCACGCTGTTTACATTTTACAATCATAGAGACGGGTTTGGGGGCAGATAATTTAGTTTGAAACGATTTTAAACTTAGAGGAGTTAACTAAGAGGAGGCTGCTTTCACGTGGGGGGGGGGGGGGGGGAGGGAGGTTTAGTGTTTTTAAGCAAATATTTTCAGTGGCAGCATTGGTACTGTCGAATTCACAAATTATAAATTACTGAAAAGTAGAAAAAAAAAACAACTAAATAGCGACGTATGATACGCAGCGGGTCGGCTCGTTCTTATATAAAACAACAGGGGATGGGAACTCGGGATATAGACATGATTTTTAATCCACTTTAAATACTTAAACTTTTTAAAATAGAATAAAATCTCGTGGAAAAAGAATTGCACACCAAGTGAACGCAAAATAAAGATGTGCAAAATAGTGCGCATTATTATTAGTACTTTATAAATTAACATGCGTTTTTTTGAGAAATCGGAAATAGCGTAAATTAGTACTTCCGGTCAACGGAAATTACTCAAAATTTGACAGAAAGTTGAGAATTAGATCTTTTACGTACATGTGAAATTTCATTTATCTATCTAAAATAGTACTCAAGTTATAGGCTTTTGAAAAATTAAAAGTAGAAAAAGTACCACTTCCAATTATTGGAAATCGCTCAAAAGTTTATACGGATCTACGATTTTGATAAAATACTTATATATGAAATTTCATCAACCTAGCTGT